AATAATTCCTTGCATTACAATAGGGCCTTGCACTGGTCAGTGCTCGGTCCCTAATAATAATTCCTAGAGATACATTAGGGACCTCCCAGCGGTCGCTGGCACGTTTACCCATTAAACAGAGGGGAGTTTTGACCACTCATGGATTTTCTCCTCTGATGCAGGTATCTTCACAGCCCCAGTCAGAGGAGCCTACTACTTCAGATTCACCATGTGGGAGGCCCGTGGCTCATCTTGGATGAACGTTAACCTCTTTCACAATGACAAGAGAATGATGTACAATTTAGATTACAATGATAACAACGGCTACGTCAGTATGTCTAATGCATTAGTTCTTCAACTAGAAAAGGGGGATGTGATCTACCTGGTTCTCTCAGCAGGTCATGGTCTTTGGGATAACAGCAATAATCTTACCACATTTGATGGTTTTCTGCTCTTTCCTCTGTGAGTGCAGCTGTTATGTACCCACAGTTAATTATACAATGTTTAAATATTAATAATATATGGTCTGTTTGTAGTTTATTGCATGGTTTTGAATCATCTGCACATTTAATTAAAAAAAGTTAACTCTTACTATTAAAACCATTGTGACCAGCGCTCATAGAGTAGTGCAATATTACTCCAAGGATCAATCTACTGTACTGCACACTACTCCTAATAAAGTTGTACTGTAGTGTGCCATGCAGTCTGTATTGAAGCATTAATCATTTTAAAAGAAACATCATTCTAAATATTTCTTTGCTTTAAAGTCAGCTCAGTGTTCAAATGCTTTTGGATCCATTTTAAATGTGCTATCAGACATCTGGTTGATTCTCATACAGCTCTTCAGTTTTACGTGTAGGCCTAAAGACGGGATCTCAGGGAGATGTGTTAAGTTAAGAAAATATTCTCATAGTCTATTATAATTAAAAATAAAAAGGCATGGTAAATTCATTGTGTTGTGTCTGTGATGTTAAAATATTGTACATTCATAAATAACACAGAAAAAATGCACAAAACTGTTTAAACCAGTTGAAATATGTTTTAAAAGCTGGTTAAGGAGCTGCAAGGGTGTTTATTTACACTGTTTAGTTTATTCGTCATTGTTAAATTTAAGCAGCAATAGTGTCACAGAGGGGTCTTCATCTTGCTTCTATCTCCACCCACAATGCCTGCCTGGGGGACATGTAACTATTGTCCTCATCAGAGTAAAGTCCTTGTTGAGGACACTGCGTCACTCTGGTGATTATTTCTCCCCATTTTCAGGTCTGAATATTAAACAATATTTAACGTGTCTGTAATAACTTGATAAAATATAAAGAGTGCTAAGACGATGTTGTTGCGACATTTTGAGTAAGTTAGAGTTAAGTTTTGTAGAAAGAAGTAAAAGTAGTGCGTGTGAGCGAGCCATTGGCAACGAAGTAACTGTGCTGAGTACGGCCACCATTTTGTGCCGACTGAATTCACCTGTAAACCCACTATAATATATTTCCCCCTGTTAAAAGTACGTGTTGTATGAATTTCAGTGACTTTTGGTGTGGTAGATGCTGTGAATATTATTCTGACTTTAAATATAGTTTGTGTCCTCTCCTCCTGTAGATGTGTTTAGTTTTGTGAATTGTATTTTTAAAATAAATATTTAGAGTACAACACTACGCTCTTATGATTATTTCGACCTATTTTCTTGCGGTCTGAACAGGTGATACTTGTGTGCTTTAAAATCAGCTCAGTGTTACAGGATGTTTGTAGACATTAATGCTTAATTCTCATGCAGCTCTTCTGTGAACTATTTTATGTGTCTATAAAGAAGGGAGCTGAGAATCAGATTTCATAATGAGGAGTGCTGCAGTTTTTCTGGTACTCTGTCTGCACTGGACGTGGGCTCAGGGTGAGACTGGAGGGGTGGCAGGGGACGATATTCAGGGTGTTAAAGCAACCCATGATCACAGCAGCACTCAGACCAACATCACCCCTGACATCTGGGCTGAGCTGAAGGAGCTGAGAGACATGGCCATCGAACAAAAGGTGGAGCTGAGGAACAGCAAGAGCCTGATAGAGAAGCTGGAGCAAGAGAATACAGGTGATGCACACTGTAAACTGATTGATGGTAGTGTTGTTTTTTCTTCTTCTTCATATTTCATTACTTAAAAAGACAGTTTTGTAGTTTGATCAGAGAGCATCAGCTGTGCCTACGAAGTCCTTGGTTTTGCTCATTCAGTGCTGAGCTCAGTTAAATATTTGAACATTCTCAGCACTGATCTTCAAAGTGATTAAACAAGGGACAACTTTAAATATATTTTAAAGTAACTTTAAATGTCTTCACAGCTTTGAAGGCCAGAATGAGGACCAGTGAAAACCAGGTGGAGGAACTCAAGAGAGAGAATACAGGTGAGCTACAAAAATCAATGAGGTAAGAACAGTGTATATGTTAGCTATCAGAATATCTTTTTAATCTACTGTTCTTTAAATCCAATATTAAAGGTATATAATTAACCTTGTTGGTGAAAGCATAATCTGAAGTATTAGAGATGTCACTTGTCTTGATCATTAACTATCAGCTCATATTTATAAGTTCAATATGAAAGCTGTTGATTGGCAAGATATGTTTAAAAAAAGTAATCATATTGCGATTATAATGCTGTTTAGTCACACATTTAACCTTTATCAAGAAATTGCAGCTGCTGCGATTTGGATATTGTACCATTGTGATTTTGACACTATTTCGATTCACTGTGAAGCCCGACTGTTGATAAACCATTAACTAGTTTTTTCATTTTGCCCTTTATTGCAGATCTTCTATCCAGAGTAACAGCAAGTGAACATAAGTGCTCAGGTAGGCCTACATAGAGATCATAGAAGATGTTAAAACATGCTGACCATAAACCAGCTTTACAATAAAACATGTAAAATGTGTTTTTCAGTTTTAGAAACCAGAATGAGCTCCAGTGAGAACAACGTGGAGGAGCTCATGAGAGAGAATGCAGGTAGGCCAAATAAATCATTACTATAACCACCACTATAAAGTAAAAATGTGATATCATGTTGCCATTAAGCATAGCAATGGTCAATGGAGATCCTTTTTGACATCAATATCTATGAATATTGTTATAAAATACTTAAAGGACCAGTGTGTAGGATTTAGTGGCTACTGTAGAAACATCGTAGTGCAACATGCCGGCCTCCTTACGATGAGGACCTGCCGCACCTGTAGATATAAAAGGCTTATTCTGAGGACACAAAGACATTCAACAGTTCTTATTTTCAGGTGAATATACACTAATGAAAACATAATTCTGCATATTCTATTCAGTTCCTGCCATAGTCTGTAAATAGAGCCCCCTAAATCTTACACACTCGACCTTAAACACTGAAGTGTCCAGTAGAATTTGTTGCTTTGCAGCTTGTTCAGTTGCCTCAGTAATGTTGTAAATCAGTACATCAGTAAGTCAGTAAGGCAAATATAAAATTTTTTCTTCACGTGCATCATCCACATTCACACAGACCGTCCAAAGGTGGCGTTCTTACTGATGTGGGACAAGTTGGACCCTTCAACACTGATATCACACTTAAATTCAGTAAAGTCTTCATCAACTTCGGCCAGGCCTACAATCCAACTACAGGTACTCACCTCATTCACCTCCACCCACCGATTATTATTATAGTATGTTTTCTTGATATTTGTTTGTTTTTATATTAATTGTTCCAGGGTTCTTTTTTTATAAAATTATAATAGCCTTTTGCAGAGAAGAGTTGTAGATGACCTGTGCTCCATTAAGAGAGAAAGAGTTTTATTCAAAGTCTTTTGCAGCTATTGCATGTTTGAGATCTCTTTCATTAAGAATAAGAGTTTTTTCTTTATTTATTACTATGCAAGAGCTGGATTGGAAATGCTGCTCATATGGGACCATAAAACAAATTTGGATTTAGATGTTATTCTGGGATATACATGATGTTTTGTGAAGTGAGTTAGGGTAAACCTTTTTTACATAATTTCAGCTATTATGTCACTTTTCTTATTCTATTTAAAAGTGATTTTTATTCTATTCTATTTCTGTTGTGGACGCATTGGTTTGTTTCGTGTTTTTACTTAACAGACTTCATTAACAGCGTTATTTATTTATTATTTATCAGTCTACCATGCAGGGACTAGGGAAGGCTCAAAACCAAACAAAGAGCCACACTCATATAGCCTGACCGAAGCAATTAGAAACAAATTTTCTACTGAACCAACAGAAGATGTACTTTAATAGTGAGAAGAGCAAAAGACAGTTCTGACCCCTCGCTGATTCTCTCCTTTGTTGCAGGTATTTTCACAGCCCCTGTCAGAGGAGTCTACTATTTCAGATTCAATGGGTGGGATGCACGGCTTTCAAATGTTTTGCGTATTAAACTGTATCACAATGACAAGAGAATTACTGAGAGTTACGATGTGAACGATAACCATGGTTACGTCAGCCTGTCTAACGCGTTTGTTCTACAACTGGAAAAGGGAGACGTGATCTACATGGTTCTCAAGTTAAACACCAGTATTTGGGATGATTCCAATAATCGCACCACTTTTAGTGGATTTCTACTTTTTGCTGTGTAAATGATGCTGTAAAACGCCAACAGTCAGCTGCCTTCTGTTCCAGCATTAAACTATTAAAGATGTGTGTGCTAACCAAATCCATATAACTTGTCTGGTTACATGAACAAAACATAGGAACTAGAATAAGAAACTCCTCTACCTTCTAAATGTTACATACTGGATCTTTAAAGGAACACAAAACAACCTTACCTTTGCACTCATACAGGCTGCAGAGCAAGGACCAGTGTGGATTGTAACTGCGTAGAGATGTGGGTCACTCGGGGGGTTGTCAGAAAGGTAGTGGACTCTCCGATTCGCCTCGGAGACAACATCAGCTCTCTTACACATCACCAACGCCGGGATGTACAGGCACACACACAGCACTAGCACACTCAGCACTGTCAGATCACTGGACACACTGGGGTGGAAGAGAGGGAGAGAGGAGACACTGGAGGATATTACACTCTTTTCATTCCCATTTTTTACATTTTGAAACTGATCACCAGTTGATTATTATGCTATTTGTGTGGTTCTCGACTATGTCATCCAAATGTAAAGAGGATGATGTCACCTTAGGAATGGGTCCAGATCGGTTGTGTCATGGCTGCTCTGGATCTGCTGCCGCACCACAGTAAGAGGCCTCAACTGGTGACAACTTAGACAAACAACAACACCAACAAGAGATTTATTTATGTGAATCATGACGGTGTACAGTTTTTTCCTTGCATGTGTGTGGGTGTATGATTAAGGCACCTAATCCATGACTGACCTGCAGTTGACTGCAGTAGTTGTGTCTGCTTGCCGTGTCCTGCAGCCGTGGTGTGTCCAGGCCCCCTGGTGGCCGTCCCAGGATGAACACAAGCTGCTGTCCACTGTGAGACTGTAGCTCACTTGTTCACTCAGGTCTTTGTGTCTGGCTGCTTTCCCAAAATTAGCATTCAGCAGAGCCAGGTGACCAACCCCTGCAGCTAGATAATATATGAGAAGATATAATGCTGAAATAATGTGGTGCGGGCCTACATGTCACTATAAGGTGAAAGGTAAATAAATCAATAAATACATGTATTACTTAAATTTCAGGTAATTATGTGACTGACAACTGACTTTGGACACATAGCTTTTCTAGTTCTGTTTTACACATTGATGGATGATTAAATTGATAGGTACTTTATAGATTGACCAGTAATTTAAATAATGGAAAGACCAGGAGGGTCAAAACCCATAGATCGGACCAAGAAATGTCTTACCACTGAGGTAGGACGAAGGCAGAGTTAATCGCGTGGTATTGCTCTCCCAGTGGTGAATCCTGTGGAGGTGGTGCATGCTGGGAGTCGGCCTCTCAAACATCCTGCCACAACAGAGAATCTTGGTTTGGTTATGTGTCACATTCTTGTTTCTTTTTATTTTTATTAATTTCTTTATTGATTAGTGCAGGTGTAACAGACTATTACAAGGTATTTTCTATTTTCTATTGTGATATATATATGTATATGTGATATAAGACATTGTTGCTTTTAGCTATCAGATGAGGATGGGTATAAAACAACCAATATCACTTCAAGTCTACCTGAAGAGCAGCATGATGGGAAACGCCTTGTTGGGCAGGGGCGCGAACACCACGCTCAGCTGGATGGCCTGCTGCAAGTGCTCCTGGGTAATGTTGAAGCTGTGGTAGTTGACCTGGCTGCGCAGGAGGACGTACTCACGCACAGAGCTCTTCTGCGGGATGGATGTGATCACATGGTCATCGACTTTCATTTAACACTGTGCTCCAGTGTGGCGATAGATACAGTGAAAATAGAGAACAAATAGTGACATACGTTTCTTGATGGTGGTTGCAGCTCGATGTTTATTGGCTGAACGAGGGAGCGAACAGGGATCTTTCTCCTCGTGCTGCACTCGTACAGACTCAGCTCGACCACTGGTCCACTCATCTGGAAATCAGCAGAGCTAAATGAGATCAATGCCTTTGCCATTTAATCACTCAGTGTCATCATACCTCGCCAGTCTCACCCTTCCAGGAGAGTGGGCCCAGGTGTAAGGGCTGTGGGTGAGCTCAGTCAGCATGCCGAGCACACACGGTCGATGCGGTCTACTCTCAGTCTCTCCACTGCGATGAACAAACAGAAGCTGGATCAGAGAGGCAGGCATGACGAAGGTGGTTGAGCCACTGCTGATGACTGCGGAGGTCTGGTTTTGGTATGTGGCATACAAGGCGATAAGAGCGGTGCTGACTCTGTGGTCCTGGACCTTGTGCAACAAGATATACTTCTGAAAAAAGTATAGTGAGATAAATGAGGAAAACATGTTAGTTTGTGAGTAGATGAGATGCATAGGAACATATTTGTTTTTTCTCACCAGCATCAGGTCTGAAGCAGCCTGCAGAATATCAGCTACAAGCTGCACCGCCTGCTTTGTTAAAATCAATCTTCCTCTTTGGATGTGAACGCCACTGGATGAGTCTGGTATGCAGCCATTAGAGGGGGCATTTCTGATATTTTCCTTGTGTGAGTCTGAATTAAATGCCTCTTTAATGTCAGCATTGTAGGACATTTCTGGTGCAAAGTCATCACTAGTGAGGGAAGCTTGTAGGCTGTATGAGAGCAGGGAGACCAGGGTGTTGAGCGTCTCCTGGTCCAGATGGTGCCAGAGTGGAGCACTGGACGCGAAGAACTGCTTTGAGATGGCCTGAACGTGAAGTGCCACTCGTCTTGCACTCGCTAATGTCACCTAAAATAAATAATGTGAGAGATTTCATTTTTCAGCATGCATCTATCAATGCTCAATGAAAGAATGAAAAGAGGACAACCTTCCACCTACCTGACTTGTAACTTGTAAAAGTTCTGTAAGAATGCAGATGTTGTCCACCATGGATGCCTAGGATTCAATAACATCTAATCAAATTCTGTACAAGGTGCAAAATGTGTTGAAATCGAACGGTGTGACTAAGAAACAGGAACAGAGAGAGTGAGAGATACTCAAAGAGAAGATTTGTTGCAGTCAAAAGTGTGGTTCTGTTAATCTTTAAGTTTAATGTAGTTTTCTGTGTGCGTGTGTGTGTGTGTACCTGTTCTCTGCTCTCGAGCTCACACACTGTGCAAATGAGCACATTGCGTGTGCGTCTCTGTGCGTGTGTGTTGGCCTCTGTGTCCAGGCTGAGTCTGTTCAGGATGCCGGAGAGGAGACTGATGTAGTTACGGACCTCCACACTGTTCCCAAGTTGCACCAGAGCCGAAAGGTTCCTCAGACCCCACTCTGAACTGGAAAGAAAAGAAAGAAATAGTAATTACACAGCCATACAGTGTGTGAAATAGGATTGTAAAGATATATCGCAAGACAGGTAAATCGCGATACAAACATGGGAAGATTGAAATCAGTGATGAAAAATGAATCGTGGTACTGTTTTTAAACAGCAGAGGGCGCTGCCACCTTTTGACTTTGTGCTTTCATACATAAGTGAAGTAGGACGTCAAACAAGCAAAGAAGACTTTTACAAAGAAAAGGAGATATTTGTTGTTTTCCACTGTTTTTACCCTACCTCAGAAAAAAAGGACTCTATAATTTGATAAAGAAAATATAAGAGAAAATAAATGAATAAATCTTTTTCAGTCATTATTTGTCTTCAATCTCTCATTTTGTTTAAAAAAAACAACAACCCAGTGTCATGAATTGTATTGAATCATGAGTTGAGTGTATCATTACATCCCTAGTAAGACAGTAACTTAAAATGTATAACTCCAGACATGACGGCAGCACTAAAAGCTGACGTAAGAGTATGAATATCTTCATAGCCATTAAAAAGCTATTAGCTACAATTTATAAACACTTTATGAAAAATGTCTTAGAAGGTAGGGATGGGAATTAATAAGATTTTATTGATACCAATGCCACTATCGATTCTGCTTATTGGTTGGATTATTGAACCACTGTTTAATCTGGAACCAGTTCTTGATTTCCATCCCTAATATTTGTACAGTATTATATAGAATTTATTGTATAGAAAAAACTACCTGCATGACGCTAATGTCGTTCTAACATGATATTATTCATCCATGGTAACGGACGTACTGCTCGGTTATACCTGTGGTTTACACCTCTAACAAAACCCTGCAACATAACCATAACGCTGATGTGATGACATGGTGATTCTTACAGCTCCAGATCAGGATCAAGACGGGAAGAAGAAGTGTCTCTGAAGAAGCTAGGTTGGACTCGGACGGTGACCGGGCAGGGTTTCGTGGCCGCTCCATACATGTTGCTTCTGATCTCTGTGTAAATAGTTACTACAGGAACAAAAAAATCAACTTCTCAGTGAATGAAAAAAGGAATCTCTGCAGTGAGTTGTCATGAAGATGCATGCTTGTGTATTATAAAAGTTATGAATCTGTGTGTGTATTCACCTTTATAGTCATCATTGAGGTCACCAGAAGGAAGGCTGAAGTAGTACTGGAAGTCTCTCCCCTGATACAGCATCCTGGGAGGTCTGTCTCCTACACTGATGCTGTACTTATACACCAAGTCCTTCAGCACACGCACAAACACACACACACACACACACGCTTTATGTTAATAAAATATGACAGAGTAAACAGAGAGTCCCTGTTTATTTTAGGGGAAGATTTGCTGTTCATAAAAACGTACATTTTCCCAGTAAACAGGAAAAATCGTATCAATGTAGCCAAGACTTATTGATTGAACTCAAATATCAAAGAAGAAAAACGTTTTTCCTTTTTCCCCCAATTGTAACAAAAATGTCTCTACATCTAAACAGTGTTATGAGGGACATTTTGATTCCCTGAATATCAAAATCACCTACTGACATGTTTTTTCTGAGTTAGGAAACCACTCAAGCTCCCTTAATCAAACTATCAATTGGAAGGTAAACATCCTCCTGTTAATGGATAATATAATTTGCTTTCCCCTGTACTAAACAATCACTTGGAAATGGCTCACATATAAAAGGGCTTTAAATAACACCTGCATCTGCATGCACCTGTATTTGTGTATGCATGTGTGTGTTTACTGTATGAGACAGGAGATACCTCTTTCCCTGAAGTGCAGAAGACGCTGAAGTGTGTGTGTAACTCCATTCCTTTTGTTGGTTGCACCTGGCAGGTCATGCCTTTTGGAGCAGGGTTGGTTTTTAAGAATAACTGAGTCCGACCCAGAAAACTATCCTGAGATTCTGAGTACAACAGGTAAGAGTTAGATTAGCATCCAGATGGTATCCAGTCTAAAAAACTGTATTACATCTATTCTGCATCTTTGCATTAGAACAACTAAAATAGAAATATTACATTTTGTAACAACTGTAGCAAATGTGATGAAAATCAAGAAATTAGGGCTGTCTGCTGGTATCACATTCACTTAACGACTAGGACTTCTTAGTTGCTAAGTAATCTGAGCGTCTTGTTTGTTCAGGAAGAGCTCTTTGGCCCATCTCTAAGGAATAATAAAAGACAGTCTAACATTGTTCAAAACCCTTTCCTCACCTGGATTATAACTATTGCATTGGACTGTGCAGAATCTGTATTTAATCCATTTATTCTGTCATGGTTCAGTGCTGATAACACATTTGGGCAAAAATTTAATTTATTGCTGTGAAACTTACTGGCTGTGACTTCCAACATGTATCTGCTCCCAGGCCTCAGACTGAAGGGTCTGAAGTTGAGCAAAGAAGAGGTAATTCCTGGAAGGATAGAAAGAGAGAGAACAATGACTAAAGGCTGAGACAGGTGGATGAAGAGAGGAAATGTCAGTGTGTCTGCGAGTTTCCTAAATAATAATAATACCTGTGTAAGAGTAGGACTCAAAAAGACCTCTGTCTACTGTGTCTCGAGGTAAATCGAGCAATATTGGCTCCTGGGTCCCAACAGGTGGCCTGGAATCTACCAGATTACTCCCCTCGTCTTCATGTGACGCTGGATGAAACACTGAATCATCTCCTTGACTGAAGCTCTCACCATCCACACCTTGGAATATACATTGGTTAGTACGCAACCGTTACATCTAGTGATGATTAGCAAATGCAGACATGTACTGTACCTGTGGGTCTTCCTGCTGAAATTCCTGGGTCTCCTTCCTCCACGCTCATCAAGGGAACGTCGAAATCTGAATCTATCATAGAATCAGCTTTAATGCACAATACAGCAACAAATCTGCACAGACCGTGTATATTTAAATATAAGTAATAATTCTCCGACCTGTGGCCCTTTGCTGCATGTCATCCCCCCTCTCTCTCTACCCCCCTTTCCTGTCAATCTTCAGCTGTCTCTATTAAATAAAGGCATGAAAAGGCCCAAAAAAATAACTTAGATAATTACCACTGTCTGTGCATTTCCTCTCAGCTCTACTGAACTTTTTAGCATCTTTAAACCCATTTTAGTTCAGTTTTCATTAACATAATTTCTAGATACAGTAGGTAGCTGTTTTAAGTTGTATTTACTTTATTTATATATACAGCAACACATGGTAGTCAGTCAAAGTTTACAGCTAGCTGGTAAACGTAGCAGAGTCAAAGAACTTACTCTTTGGTAGAGTATCACTTGCAACACCTGTGTTTTCCCTTGTATTTCATGTCAAAATGGCTGCTGTGAAAAAGGTCTATTGTGACTGATAAGACCTGGTCTCTGGACTGAGGACTGTGGGTATTTACAGACTGTGCTTGATTGACAGCTCCCTACTCTCTGTAAGCTTTGTTGCTCATGTTAGAGCGGGATTAGTTACACCATTATCATTTGTATTGGTTGAAAACACCTGTGGGGGTGTGCTGGGTTTCGACTGATTGCGAGATGAGAGTAGCTTCACAAATTTCAGCTAAGTTTGGTCTCACCTAGTCGACCTCCCAAGTCACCGCTCTCCAGGACAGGAAAGGAAAACTCCCAGTCAGCAGATGAGTCTGAATCAATTGGGTATTCACTGATAACATCACTCTGGCCAAAGTGGTCTGAATATAGGACGCCACTGTTGTCAAGGGCAAGTGGCTGGTATTCAGTGGTGGAGTACAAAGGCTGTTGAGGGTCAAACTCCCCCAGAGGGTGATATAAAGGCTCCTCTCCTGAACATAAAGAGGATGAGCTGTTAAATAATTCATAAACTATCCATTTTACTGTAACTATGCCCTTGCCCATTATTACTTCTTGTTGACTTCCCCTATTGAGGTCCATGTCTTTAATGCTATTGAGCTGAACATTCTGAGCATGGTAATCATTATGCAATCACACTTTTCTTCACAAAATGCACCTACAGAATGAAATAATTACCATTTTAAAACAGTAAAAGCTAGCAGCACCAAGGCAGCACACACAGCTGCCCAGGCTTACCTGATCCTGCAGTTCTTATTTGGACTAGAGAAGAGATAGAGGAGGGCTCGGGTTTTGTCAAACCTATGTAACGAGAAGGAAAAGAGAGAGTGTTGTTTTCAATTTCAGTACAGTCTGTTTTTACAGAGTCTACTGGTCACATTTAATTACACACCAGCCATAGTTGACTTCTTTTTATTACTCTTCGACAATGTTGTGCTGTCTGTCATGTTCACATTTCGCTTTTTGGCTCTTGTTTCAGAGGCATTCTCGGTCAGAGAGATGGGAGTAGAGGTATTGACAGCACGGGTGTACTGTGAAAAATCTGTAGCTGGTGGATGCAGGTTGGAAGTTGTGAGAGTCTCAGGGGAAGTAGCAGGATCCTCCATGATGGGGGACGGAGCACTGAGATCCACTGTGTAACAAAACGGGACTAGAGCACAACAGAAGAAAATAGAAATTAAGCCGAGTGAAATAATAGCAATTTACTGTACATGTCCAAATGCATACATGTTTTTTTCTACCTTCTATGGCAGGTTTAGAGGATGCATTGACCAAATACAGGCTCCAGGTGTACTGGATGTATTTTGGGGCAATATCACAGCCTTCACACAAGGCGATGACAGAGAAAGTCTGATCCCAGTTCACCTGGTCTCCCTGGCACTGAGGGCAGTAAACTGACACCTTCCTGGATTGGAAACATTCAGATACAGGGTCAGAGACACAAAGTGTATCAAAGTACTGTATGTTAAGGCACATCTATAGTCTTCAGATATAGTGATGTTTCTCTCACCTGATGACATTTGATGTTAATGTTAAGAAGGTCTCTGATGAGGCAGAACGCTCACCGCTGTGGATGGTAAGTGTGAACTGGAACTGGTCGAAGTTGTGTTTTAGGAAACTAGCAGGAAATATGAGCACAGGAGATGAAGTGGGGACATCTTGGTGGAAGCATGAGCTGGATATGGAGCTGACTGGTTTACATGTCCATCGGAAGCTGCAAAGATAAAATAAGAAACAGCGCTGAGTCTGAATGCACATTTGAATTAAATCTTTCCAGAAGTAAAGGTATTACTGTACCTGACTGGGATTATGGGGGAGTCGGGATCATAAGATCTCTGCCCGTCCAGGGTTACCACCGTGGTGTTCCTGTTGTGAATGAAGATGTTGGTACCGCCCTGGATGAAGGCCACAGGAGGGCTCGGTGTCACCTGCACTCTCACACTGTAGTTACTGTACACCACACTGCCAACGACCTGAACCTGCAGAGCAATAACAGCTATTGGACTCAATCCACAGTGGAGTGGAACATTAATTCTTATAAAGAGTGCCGGTTTAATGCATTCACTACTTAATCCATTACTTACCCTGGCTATGGCGGTGTAGGTGTCATAGTGCAGGAGATGGCTGGGCAGTATGAGGCTCTGTCTGTGTGTGTCTGTGAAGGGCAAAGTGAAGACCTGTCCTGTAGAGTCAAACAAGGTCCAGTTGTAACGAAGGCCTCCTGAAATGTCACATTCAACTTCAGTCTCATAGGTCACCCCCAGGCGGATAACCTCATATCTTCGCACCTTGAAGAAAAGAGAGAAAACGTGAATATATTTTTAGCTACCATACTACACAAACGTTAAGGTGGCAGTAACAGCCCTGCTGGTAAAAATGTACCTGTAGTTTGAGAGGTCCCATGTTTTTGACTGGTGGGGGCTGACAAGGCCGGTCCACAACAAAGATGTGACTACTTAAAGAGGCAGAGCTGACCAGGTTAGACACAGTTACTGTCACTCTGAACTCTCCTGTCCTGCAGAGAGTAAAATCACATACAGTAAATGTACACAGGCAAAAATACACATTATAGTAAAGTAACAAGAATAATGAAAAGACAAGCTGACTAGGATGTTTGCAAAAGATCTCTGAACTCTCTTAAGTTTATCAAATAAAGATTTACGAGAGGACATTCAAAGTCGTCAAGTAAGGAAATTGGAAGAATCTTACTTTTATATATAAGAATAAAACTGGTCCAAATACAGGAACTATACCTTGACTGATACTGTTTTACAAATATTGATAATTGAGAGTTCAAAATAATGACAAATTGGCCAATAGTGTTTTTCTTTTTCTTTTTTTTTTTTTACATAAAACACATTTTTTTTCAATAATGATCCTTTAAATTAGTTTTATTAAAGAATTATGACCAAGATATGTACTGAGAGAAACAGTTTAAAAATAAACTCCTCAAAGGTCCGTGGTCACAATCTATGCAATGGAAACACTGAAATAACATATCTTAGGCATTGTTTTGGATATATCCACAAACAATTACCCCAATACTGATATATCTAAAATAAGCCTATGTCAATTAGAAACATCCAAATAAACTAATTTAAAATCAATACTAGCAGTGAAACTCACCTGTGGAAGACATGCTGTTCTGTGCTCTGGCCCACCTTGGATGATCCATCTCCAAAGCTCCACAGGAAGGTGGCATCAGTCCCCAGATTTACCCGGCAACTCACCGCCACCGTTTGGTTCTGCAGGACGGAAGCCTGGTGGAGCAGTCTGTTGAGGTTCACTGCTCTCTGGACTACCAGCGGGAACACATCAGAGGTAAGGGAGGTCTGGCCTCTTGACATGACTACAACTACATCATACCTACATTAAGGGAAAAAGGCACTATTCAGGGAAAGATCAATGTACTGCATCTCCATTTAATCTTGTTAACAAGTTATCTAAGTACTTTTATGAGATCATTTTGATTATTATTTGATTATAAGATCCCCTCCAGACATATACAAATAATCTGCTTGGAACAATAATGTGTGTCTGATATGTTTTTTAGTATAATTTCCACATTAAAATCCTTAAAAAAAGCCATCTAGTTCTTCTACCTCATTAAAAATTACAATTCTTTGAATATGCATATTTTTAAAGTTTTCCTGCAGCACACAAGAAAGAAAACGAAAAACATATTTTTGATTTCGATTTTAGATCTAAAACTGAACCCCTATACATACAGCACTGTGTTTACATGCCTCAGTATTTGTTGAATGTACACATCCATTTTCTATTTAGAGAGAGTGACTTTAGCTATTGGGAAATCAGTTCAAAACTTTAACAAAGTCCCATTCACAAATGGTAATGTTGAAACACTTTGACATCACATTTTACAAAAAACAAAACAAAATCTGAACAATTAACATACTTCTGGTTAGAAGTACAATAAAACTCTGCACAGTTATGGAGTCAACGAAGCGTCTACTTTGTATTTTGAATATTTCATCAGTGTGTCATACCTGCCGGGTTTTTGGTATCTTTTGATGATGGTCCTTGAGGGGGTTCTGGCTGATCTTGAGTCTCCAAAGTGCCACAGGAACTCCACAGAGTCCGGTACTTCAGCCACAGCCAGGAAGGTTATATCTGTATTAGTGGGATAAGCTTGCTTTGCTGCATAAATCCTCACTGTTAGGAGACAAAACAGACATTATTTTCTATATACCACAAATTATAAATGAATGAAGAATTATAAATGCTTCATGCCAATGACAGAGGGGTGAAGAATTATTAAAGTAAAAACTATTTGTTTCAAAAAAGCAGAAAACACTAAATGATAAAATTTACACGATGTCCCATCAAAGACAAATTAGATCAACTTAATTATTTTGAAGCTTCTATTTTCTTTGACAGTGATAAAAAAGGCAAGAACCAAAGGCAGAAAAACAAAGTCCTATAGTTAAGTTAATAGTTAACAGATTAGTGGTATCATGTTCAAAGAAAAGCATGAGACCTTCATTCAACTAAATCTGCATGTGAAAAATTGATGCCATGAGAAAATAAATTATGCATTTATTCATTAGAGATTAATTAGAAATGTGTCCTAATCAAAGATCAAAATGTTTAGACACTGATTAAAGATAAAAAAAATCTCAAACATTTGCAAGAAAACAAAGCCTTTTCTGAAATTCTTAATTAATGTTCACATGTTCTGTACTGCTCAGCTTGTGTTGGTTAAAAATACTTCCTCACCATTGTCAGCTGCGAGGCTGTGAACCAGACTAGTAGTTGGTTGCCACACTGGATTATCTTTAACTTGTGGTGATGGCTTCCTGTTCCTCTCAACACGTACCCTCATGCTTTTCTTCTGAGAAGACACTCGGTTCTCAGCTCGAAGCTCAACCGCAACTGTTCCTGAGTGGTCGAAAAGCAAAACCACTGTTGCCTCTTCTCCTGCAGTGCAGTTGCTTTTTCTGTACAGCAGTGTTGCATTCACCAGCAGAGACACCGTCACATTTGAGCCTGCTGTGACGCTAAATAAAACAGAGTGTTTTCGGTTTGTTGTGAACACGCTGGGAGCATTCAGCACCAGCTCTCCAACTGGGTCTTGAACGAGGATGTGTGAGCAGAATGAGGCCCAGCTTATTGGGTTAAAGGCCTTAACTGTCACTTTATAACAGCCTGCTATTGTAAGAGACACACTGACATTCCACTCTTCAGTTGTCCTGCTTGTCACAATAGCATCGTCCAAACTAAAAGTCCAAATCACTCTCGACCCCATTCGGCTGGCAGGGCTGAGAACCTCCAGGTTGAATTCTGCATTCGTTGCAACTACTGATTTCCAGTTCCCAGAAGGCCCCAGGGCATGGATACGCTCGTACACCATCAAGGCTTGAGGCAGGTCGGCGGAGAGCAGCACTGACCAAAGATCAGAAGTGGAGAGAACAGATGCTCTGAGGTGATACTGTCCAGCGGTGGTGGGGAGGCGGCAGTGAAGGTGGAGGTGCAGATGGCAGCTGGAGCGGTTGTTGCCACGGTTAATGTTTTTCTGCTGAGCCATTCTGCTTGAATGATTTTCAGCATTTTTAATGTTACCACTAATGTTTCTATTGTCATTACTAAAGTCACTGTTGCTTAAATGATCCTTCGTGTCAGTGCTGCCATACTCGGCATTCAGTGTGAGGTTGAGGACAAGTAGGTGTTTCATGGTGGTGAACAGCTCCACGTCCACAGAAACGTTCTCTCCGGAGGTCAGCTGACTCTCTGATACACTCAGTCTGAGGTCAGAGATGGCAAGACGCACAACCACCTGCAAGTATAAGTGCAAATGTGAGATTAAAGACCAAAAACAATAACAAATTGATTCCACTAATAAGTATTGATTACCAAAGTCTGATATTGCTTATTCCTCTGTGCCATAGAGCTCCATTATTGCCAAAAAACAATTAAAAACACATCAGTGAGCCACATTTCTTTATTACAATGAACATTGGCTGCTGTGAATACTTGCTAACTTACCAAATATGTATTAATCCGCTGCTGAAAATAGTGCCCAATAAATGCTCAATTTACTCCTGTTTAAGTAACGACTGCTTAAAACTAAAGTTCCCAGCTGTTTTAGGAAATTACTGATGCTTTTTAAACACAATTAAATTATAGATACAACATTTTAAAAGTTTTACTTCTTGAATAGGAACCAATTTGCTTGAGAGCCACAGACAGGCAGAGAAGTTTTGGTCTTTTCATGGGATTTGTTGACAATAAACACATCACATAAAATGTTGCATTTCAAAAAGCAGCCTTATCCTTTAATCATTAAATATAATATAATTAAACATGAGGATAATATTTTCAGTAACTGAAATCAGACTTCTCACAATACGTATTGTCTCCTGTGTCCATCCATAGGCACTGGAGGCGTTCACTGAGACGATGTGAACTCCTTCGGTTTCAAAGGTCCAGTTCTGGAAGCATATAGACAAATGTTTCTTTATCCATTACATTAAAAACATGACTTGAGAGGAAATATTTTTGTACTTCAATACTTTTATATGTATCATAAACCCTTTTTTTTGTCATTCTAAATCACCAAATTATTAAACCACAAATGGAGAATAGCATTTCTTCCGAAGACCATAAATTCTTAGTATCTGCTTAGATTAGTTTTTGGTGTCTATAGTCAAAACTAAACTCTTCTAAACAGCACTGAATGGATCTAGATCTGGACTCACCAATATTACAGCATTTCTCTCTTTAACCCATTCACTTCCAGATGAAGTTCCACTCTCCTAAATTCAGTCTGCACAAGAACCGATTGGTGAATCTCTCTATGAGTCAAAATAAAAGCAGCTCTGGTTCTTACGACCGAAATGAGAGATTGCACTTTGTTGTAACCCATCCTTGTGTGTTGCTATGGCTATAAGTTAAATAAATAATTCAATAAATACTTGCTAATTATTGCATGGTTATATTGCTTATGTGATAGATTTCAAATGTTTACCCCTATTAAATAAAACATATAATTTAATGTGGGTAAAAAAATGTATGGGTATTTTACTGATTTAAGTCATTATTCTAATAAAATTCACATTGTAACGGATTTGTTCTCACTAAACCTAAATTCCACATGTATTATAATCCATTATAAATTTCAAATGCAATTATTTACGTCATCTTCATTTTTAAACAGCGCTGGTTTTTAAAAAAAAGAAAACATGCATTACCTCCATAACTGAATCTAAAAAAACGTTGAAGCAGACAGCGTTTTTAGTTTTTTACTTGTTATTGAAAGGGTTGTAATGTTTTTTTATGCTCTTTGTTATAAAGCAATCACAAACAGGCCAGACTGTAAACTGAGCAGGCTGACCTCAACATCACTGATTCATCGGTAGTCAAAACAGTTATCTCTTGTTGTCACTGAATGTGCAAAGATGCTCCATTCAGCTTAGACTACAGGGTTATGCTGATTCATGACCTGGATCAATTAAAAAGAGGTTACTGCCTTTAATTTTTAGATACATGTTCATAGCATAGCCCTCATTTCTCAGCCCTACTTACCACAGTGCTGTTCAGACATTCAGAGCTGGGGAGACAAGCTGTCTTTACAACCTCCATGTTTTTCTCTTTCTCCTCTTGAGTAAACCACCAAGAAAACTGTACTGGCAGACTACTATCACCCATGTCTGCCCGCAGAGTGACAGGGTCGCCCAGGTATGCTGACTCGACTGTCACACTGCTGGAGTCTGTCGGTGGGAAAGGGGTGCAGGAGGGGAGGCCCAGGGGGCCGTGAAGCACAGAGATCACCAGACTGTGTGGAGAGGACTGCAAGACGGAGAGCAGGAGTGTGGAGGAGAGTGTGGAGAGGGGGTTGGAGACACTGACGTCTAAACATAAAATGACAGGATAAAAGAAAAGAAGAAGAGAGACAGAGGGTTAGTGGCCCACATAATAAATATTTCTAATTTTTAGTTGAGAAATTATTCATTATTGAACTGTGTTTGCTCTTGTTGACTTACTGAGTTCATATATTCCTGGGGTTTCCAAAATCCAATCAAATGACACAACAAAGGAGCCATCATCCAATACGCTGACATGATGTGAACTTTGACCTTTAGGGGTCGTTTCCTGAAACTCAACAGTGACATAAGAGAGGTCCTGCCCTCGCAGACCCAGAATCCCTAACAATCACAGAAAAACTCGACTGAAACAGGAAACAGTGATATATGTTACAAATGTTTGTTTTAATTATGTAATCATTAATCAAATATCATTATATTTTTCTGTGTGTGAATATTTTCAACCACATACAGAAACTCATTAAGAAGCACATTCTGAATGAAATATTGTTCAGAACAACATAAATTAAATATTCTCTAAAAAATCATCATTATTTTACAGTTAGATTTAGAGGAGTCATTTCATGTTACATCATTGTAATATTTATAATTTCAGAATTGACATTGTTAGATAAAGCTAATATATATAATATATGAAAGATATAATATAAATACATTTTTGTAGATTATTTTTAACCACATTACACAATATATCGGCAGCTGTTCAGAAACAATAATGGAAAATGTGTTTTCCATTAGAACACAGCTTTTTATAGTTTATATTAAAAAAATGTATGGTAGGGTTTTTTGCGAAGTGGCTTTAACAGTGTTTTTTTATAAGTACATATATTTTTATTTTATTTATATATTTATTTTGTAAAATAATGAACCCTTTAAAAGTTTAAATGAATAAATAAACACTGACAACAAAAAAGCTATCTTTTTAAAACAATGTCTTCAGTTGGAGCAGTTATGTTCATGGATACACTGTCTCTCTATTATAATTCTAATAATAATAAAATATATTTTATGATAATGAATAATATGATGTAATTTTTTTTTAAAAATAAAATAACTGATTATATATACTATTCATGTAAAAGACAAAAAATACATTTACACAATTATAGAGCCACAGAAAACAAATGTTAAGGAAATAACAGATATAGAGATATAATATAAACTATTTTTTGTCACTTTTACATAAAGGACAAAGCATCTTTACCAAAACAAACCTCTTTGCCAAGTCATAACACAAATGTTTAAAGAGTCCTATTTCCAAGAACTGCACTTGTGTAAAATACAGTATAGCAGCTGACCTGTGGGCTGGTCGGGGCTTCCAGCCAGGTTTCCTGAAACTTCTACAACAAAAGTCCTCCCAGCATGCACTCTGTTTGGAGAAGTAGACAGACGAATGCTGTGCAGAAAGGGTCCTTCAGTTCTGTAGAGTGCCACACTTCCCTGTCCACCTCCAACAGGCAAGGAGAGGACACTGGAAAGGAAAAGACTCACAGTCAAAGATCCAGCACAGGTCAAACACAAAAAGCTTCAGGGACTGTGACGTGAGTGAGTGAGTTCATAATTTACAAACATATGAATTTGAAATGTTTTACTCAGACTTCATTTGGTGGCATTAAGGTTCGTGCCTTCAGCCACTTCTGGATCAGGACTTGAAACAGACGTAGAGAGGCCATGGTTAGCAGAAGTCTGTCTCACCTTTGTCTTTTACTTTCTGCTCTGACATCCTTTGTGCCTCCATCTGACGATGTGTTGAAACACTCACTGGGAACCAAACCCTGTTGCAGGTTGCCACAGTAACAGCCCTCTGAGGTCAACGCCGCAACCTGGTACCTTCAACCACAAATACTGAAAGTTAATAAAATACTGCATCCAGCTCAATTAAACACACTTACACAAAACTCAGTGCTCATGTTAAAATGTCTGTGTGCCAATGATGCTTTAGAAAAAGGGTGACTTAAATTTAGGGTCACTCTTTGCAGCAATAAGCTCCATGTTATTAAAAAGAATAGAATATATATATATATATATATATTACTTCAAGCATTACAATATATGTAACTGAGCCCATAGACCAAAGCTCCCATTTTATTTTAATGGCAAGGCCTTTTGCTTAATGAAGAAAAATGCTTTTAAACACAAAGTTTTGGGGGGGTTATCAGATTTTTCTCAATAGAAAAATGCAGGAAAAGGTGGACTTCTGTGTCATTTATATAAATATTTAAACTGGCCTGCATGGCGTTTGAAAACAAATTATAAAATATTTCAGAATGAAAACATCACAGCTGCACAGCATACATGTTTGTAAAATAGCAATGTTTTAAAGCACAATAGGAGACGATTCTCATACAAGATTATTGGCGTCGCCACTGAGGAACTGCTGGTCCCAATATGAATATCTAAAAGAAATCATAACGTGGATTTTCTCCTTAATTTAAACACAAATATACAAACCGGCTTTAGCTGAAATCCTACACTTACCCCTCATCCAGGCAGCGTGCAGAGCAGGTTACCGGGTCAAGGTCACGGGCACCTTTGGATGCGTAAAGCCTGCTGCTGGCGTTGACGCACCCCACGAACCACGGTGATATCCCGTGACCTGGTAGAGCAACTGCCACAGACAGGCGATGAAAAAGCGGGTGCAGCGAAATGAGCGTGTAGACAAAAGCACTGAACATGTCTGAGGCCGCAACTGGAGCAAAAAGCCCAGGAGGACAGCTGGACGGACAGACGGGGACAACAGTGAGAAGAAGAAGAGGGGAGGGACGGAGGAGAAAAGCAGGTGCATTGACGCATCACGCTCTGTGCATACAGTACAAGGTGTGTGTGGGAGGAAGGGGACACAGTGGGACTGTGTGCAAATGAAGGAACCAAATTAAATGCAAGTGAGGGTGTGTGAGAGCTTTTGACTCAAGGCCGTGGGGTTGTGTGTTTCCTGTGACGCTGGTGAGTGTGAAGCGATCTTTGCTCGCGCAGTTTGGCTGTATTTTGTGCCACAGCGTTTAAGGGAAAAAAAATGACAGATGCACTTTTGTATAAGAATAAACGCGCATCTGCCCTTTAAACATGAGTATTTTCCTTTAAAGTTAATATCCAGTTTGAATGCCATGTTGCTTGCTGTGCTCTCCATTTGCTGAAAAGCACAATTACAAAAGGTCAACAGTCAATCAGGCAAAGCTGAATACACCAATTAGCAGATTTGGGGCTTTTCCACGCAAAATAAAGCAGCTTCCACTGGTTAAAAATAAATAAAATAAAAAAGGCCTGTGTTGCTATTTGAGCTGCTGGTTCTTTTGTTGCAAACACTGCAAAATTAATGAGGCAAAGAAAATTGTAAGCACATGAAACAGAACAACTGCAGTGGAGGTAAAAAGAAAGAAAGAAAAAAAAAGAAAGCTGTGTGCTGTTATTCTGCCTAATGCACAGGTTTAATCTGAAGATCTGCCCATTAAATCATTCTGTTAGTCTATAAACGCTTCTTCATTGAGATAAACCGAGCTGGCCTACAGTGACCTGGCAACGCGCCCACATGCGCCACATAGGCCTACAACCGCCACCACAGGGAGATGAATTATTTCTTCACAACCTTGTGTGTGTGAGTCTACGTGGAGCCACGAAGCAAATCTCATTGTTGGTTAGATTCCGTTATTGTCCAGCAAGCCCGTTGGACGCCGGTTTGGACCACCTGAGGAACCAGATCTCTATTCTTACATCAACTTTAAAAAACAACAACATCTGGAGTCTTCAAGGGCATCCAAAAGTGAGCACATCTCTGGTTTAATATGCCAACTGGACTATGGTCTTTGTCTTTAGTTTTTTAAAGGACCAGTCTTGTACAGAATCATCTACAAGCTGACCTGAATGAGATCTTATATTAATAGAAAGTGCAACACAGAATAAGCTGCAGTATGAAAACTATCTCTTATTGGTCATTTTTTTTCTGACAGGTGAAAGGACAGCGGGGTGGCACCTCCTACAGCTGAGTTCCAGCTTTGTGGATCAGTGTGTTATCTCTCTGCTTGGTTCAGTTTTTGCACAATTCAAGGACATTCTTCAAAAACGTCGTTTTAAACTGGAAACGAGGGAGAAATGATCTCACCAGCAGTAGTATTTTTTCAACTTGGTTATAAGAAAGGTAGGATTTAAAGCTCCAGCACGAACTCCCTCTTTCGACGCATATTTTTTTGCAGAGCACTTCGGAGCTGTTGGGCTGAAAAATGCCAACAAAACGCAACGGAACCGGTGAAAGTCTTTCGTCCGAGTCCAGTTTGCCCTGTGAGCCCTTTGGTGAAAAAAGCGTCCTCGTCGTGCATGCAACTCCGCAGATCCACCTTAAAAACCTCTTCCGGTTTTCTAGACATCCCCTTTAAGAGAATTTCTCACGCCCAGCAGGGGGCGCTATGAGACCGCGCCACCTCCTCGAGCTGACGGTACCAGAGAGGCACAGCGGGGGCATCAAACACATTTTCTCTGTCCATTTTTTATACGGAATACGCGCATATTTGGGGGATTTCGTTTCGCCTCTCCGCTCAGGGACTCGAACACGTCTTCACATCACAAAAACACCGCATCTGACCACAGAAACTCAAACAAATCTTACTTGATCCCCCCCCAAAAAAACCTAAAATGTGGGACTTGTTATTGTTGATTTAATATAGATTCAGCTGCATATGTGTGAAAACAAATCAGCCGCGGGAGTGGAACCTATATTTAACGCTCATTTACATATTAAATTGGGAACCCTGCATGTGAATTAATTTATAGTGAAAACACATATTGCTTTATTTGCCGCGGGACCCCCCGGAGCCCATTCAAGCACCCCTGGAGGTCCCCGGATCACACTTTGAGAAGCATTTTCTAACCAAACCCTAAACACCAATAAGCCGCGCTGTAGTCGTGACGGTGCGTAAAGCCCACCGCGGGCCTGCTAAGCTCCAATAACCTGCCCAATTCGTTAAGCGCACGCTGTGCTTTCAATGTGCGCACGCCGTGATACAATTAACAAATGATGAAGTCAACGAAATCTTTCAAAAAAATAGCTGCTGGATCCGCGTTATGGCGCTGCGTAACGGAGAGACGAAGCGTTATGTAAGTGCCTGCAGTCTGCGCCCCTACGAGGACACAGAGTCCGCTGGAGAAACCAGTTCAGCTGACTCCGGTACTGAGGAGTCGATTGACGTGGAGAGATATTAAAATAGATATTGTCACCAGGGTTTTGTTATAAAAGCCGGGACGTAGAGGAGGAAAACTAGCCGTTGTTTGCACACCTTTTTATTTGCATAATTTTAACGAGTTTATCGGCTGATACTCAACCATATGAGAGGAAATTAAAGAGTGCCAGACTACATTTTGACGCGTGTATGGTGATATGTACTTTAAACTGATGAGTAAAAAAAATAAATAAAACAAAATGTGAGTTGTTTATCTGTTGATCAGCGGCTGGAGGTCATATTTGATTCACCTATTTATTTGCCACCACATGACATGAGTTGAGTTCTCCTCATCTGAAGTAGTTTAGACATTTTAATATAGAAATGTCATGATTGCTTCTCCCAGAAATATATATTTGACAGTCTATGCTGCAACCTCCTCCTTTCTAACCCCATTATTTTTGATTTTCTGGAGGAATATTAACCCCTTATACCTGCTTATTTGGCCTCCTTATCAGGTGACTTCTACTTAGTAATCTATATTTTAGTTAATAAATGTTGAACATATTTAAGTCTTATCTCACCAGGCGCCATCTTCCTAAACTATAACAACAAATGCCCCATGTAGCAGCTCGAATACGTTTTCTTTTTTTTAAAAAAAGAAGTCTTATGTAGGCAGTGGTTAGGTGGACATTTTTCAAGATATTTTCACAAGTCATGGCAGAGTTTCCACGAGAGAAAAAGAGACAATGACTATACAAAATGTGAAAAATAAAGTGTGTTTTATTTTAAGGAATAATAAAGGGAGATGTTTCAATATATCTGTGTTTCACAGAAAGGAAACAGTTCGATCAGCTTTGTTCTGTTATATTCAGAGAGATTTCAAGCAGCAGTTTGGGTATTTTTTGTCCAATCTGTAAGACAAAGCTTTCATCTTTCTATCCAAACTGAAACCCTTAACAGGCAACAACAGACTGCACATTAGACTGACTTATGCAAAGTATGGATCCATATATAAAATACCACGACGTCCTGTGTCTCAATATTAATTCATGATCATGTGACCCTTTGTGTTTTTAATTAAAGAGGCCTAACTCGCAGTTAAGTCGTTCGTTAATTATCCAACCAGCTGCATTAAGTGCAGAAACCCTCCTCTGACCTGTGTGTCTGATGATGTCTGAAAGTACCTGGTTCCTGTCTTTGTGTGCACCGAGCTGGAGCTGAAGCACCAACATGCTACTGAGTGCCAAACTCCCTGCTCCGTGGGTCATTGTTCAATGCTTTCACAACTTCACAAATCCATAAAGGAGGCCTGGAAACGCACGATAAATGTCGAGGGTCATGACAGACCAAAAAGTGTTGCATTTCTGGGAGCATGTCTGATAGAGGTCAAAGGAGAGTCAGTGTGCCTGCAGAAAAATCAACCAAAATGTATATAATAATAACTGACTATTTAACAATCACCTATGTTCATTAAGTAATAGGTAATTATAGGCTACAAAAGAGGATATGATCACATATAAACCATTCATGGTTTAATAGGTCTGTTGGAACATTTAAAGTAATCAAGCATCTATCAGATCCTAAAGCTTTATTAACACATGCGTGGTGCATCTTTATAACAAAGTTTTAGTCCTGACTGTCCCAACTGTGCTTAAACATGTAAGTTAAACATCCGTATTTAAAAGCTATTTGACGGCGCTCTGTCGCTGTTTGCCCCCGGGGGGAGGAGAAGGAGCTCTGCGGGATCCGATTACTCTCCAAACAAGCCTCAATCAGGCCAAATTATTAACGAGAATCTACTGTAACATGCAGATCTTATCAGAGCTGGATCACCAGGAGTAGTCTCCCGGGTTTGACAACAACAGCTGGAGAGAAGAATAAAAAACACATCAGAAAATTAGTTTAAGAGGATTTACACAAATAATATTACAGCAAAACCATCAATGGACTAAAGAAACATTAGGAAATTAAAAAATATATAAATAAACAACATGTTATATCAAAATAATATTCTCTTTATACTGCACTAAGATTTTAAAATGTCACCATAAAATGAACCTTAAATAAAAGCAGAACCTATATTGAGAACATCACTTTGTAAGGCTTGTCAATACAAACTAAAGGTAATATCATTGCACACTCACTATTAAATGTAACAGCCACATTTCTGGAATATAATTTAATATGACCTATATTGCATTATTGAGTACTAGGGCTATACCTAAATGGCTTTTAAAGAAAAAAATTCTACTGGTTTTAAGTCAAACACACCTTCTAACTATCCAGTGAAATTAGGCCTAAATAAGGAGTTAGTTACAATGAGTCTTAAATCCCAGGTTTCCCCTTTGTCCCACATCCTGAATACCCAATATAAAGAAGTGGGTGAAAAACGTTGGCTGAAACCTTATCCGGCAAAGGCCCAGACAGCCCTAAAAAAGTGTCCTATTATATTTCTCAACCACCCAATTTAAGAAACTTCACCAGAAGAGGAGAAGAAAGAAAGTTCATCCGCTCAAATCCGCTTTTGACGCATCATGTCTCCTGCCTGCGTGCCCTGCAGCAAGGCAATATTCTGCATTTTTCATCAATTTGATGTTTGACATATAGCCCTAACTACAGAAGGGCTGTAGGTGAGAATATCTGTCGACTTAGGCGCTGACATAGTAATCAATAATGAACAAGCTGTGGCCTGAATACATGTAGGCCACTGGTAGAAATCCAGATAATTTTCTACCAGTGTTTTAGTCAAATTAGAGAGATATATTTTTTCTATTTTGTGTGTTAATGATAGAAATTAAACATATCATTGGTGTATCAGTGTGGTTGCAGCAGCGGAGGAGGTTCTCTGTTGTGTGATTGTGTGTGTGGTGGTGTGTGTGTGTGTATTAGTGGCTTTTATCCCCAATCCAGCTTGGGCTTCTTGTCCTAACTCCCTGGTATGAGGGGTCAAAGGTCACCGCCGCTTGTAGCAGTGTTCAAATCCCCCTATAGTGTGTAATGTTCTCAACATTATAAAGGGAACTAGTGTCCAGATATTAGTTTTCAGGCCGTGGAACATTTTAATTAGCTGATATAAAGGATAAACACACAGGAGCTTTAAGTTGTCATGAGACTGCATACATTTTATAGCTAATTTATCCAAATAAACTGAAAAATATGCATTCCATCGTTACATGGTACAATATTTTTAATGGACACACGAAATACCTTTTCTCTGAGGTCAACCTCTAAAAAACTCTGGCCAGTAAAACCAGTGAGATTACAAGGTATTTCTACCATAGCTTACAACAAAGAAACCACTATATGAAATTCATGTGTGAGTGTGTGTGTGTATGGAGGAGGGGTTCAGTTTAAAGGCCAATAATGTATTGGTGTCAATACAAAACTTTTAAAAAAAAAAGGTCTTCTTAAAATAATAATCTTCCCAATTATTTCCTTGCCAAGGAATGTTTTTTTTATATGTATTCCTATATTTTTTATTTAAAGAAAGCAATAATATCATTGAATCTAATAATAATGATGGTAATAATAATATTAACAAACATGAGCTCAGGATGGTCGTTGAAACATGCTCACACATGGCACATGTTCAATCATTCATATAATGGGATTAGGCAACTTTCAAAAATGAACCACAGGAATGTCAAAACTTTGTTTTCTAAAAATGTGGGTCAATACAAAATAACTTTATGAAAAATACATTTGGAGTTAAGTGTTGTCTTATTTTATGTCCAAAGAGTGGACAACGTTATAGTTCATATGAAATCTATAAACCTGAGTTTGCACAGTTTTTAGTTAGTGCAATCTATCATCCCAATTAAAAAAATGTTGTATTAATTTTTATAAAAATGATCTCCACAAACTCAGCAGTACTGAATCTTAAACCAATTAAAAATATAAAATAAATCTAATTTAATGTGTAAAAACAAATAAATAAATAAACCTTTAAATGATCCTCTAGTTACATTTGACTAATAATACATAAATAAACACTCTGATGGGAGCCATGCAGCCAACAGTAAACAGAGCTGAATGGCAAATAGTTTTTCAAGTTTTACAAATAAGACCACTGTAAACATGTTGATACATGGCGGGATAACAGTCTAAATGAGCAGGAACTTAATGCCTTCCTGTGACTCACGCTGATCGCCTAAACAACACCCGTCACACAACCGGGCTTGTTGATAACTGATTGAATTGTATGTTAAAAGTTGCTCCAGTCTCCTTTCAACATTAGGCTACATCTGGCGCTCTCCTGTCCTCAGAAAAGCCTTTACAAATGGAGTTGAGCTCCATGACTGAGCAGAAGCCCTCTGGTGCTGGTTTTCCCCTTCCTCCCCCCATGCAGTCCCTCTGGCCAGGGAAATCCACCAGACACCAGCTCTGTGGGCTCCCTGCGTCTTTTCTAAACGTGTTTTCGCCGCTTTAGGGTCAGTTATTAACTCGAGAGCGTTTCAATTTAATTTACACATGCAGGCTGGAAAATACGCACTTGACTCACTTCAAGCAAACATATCCTCACTAATCTGGTCGTCGGACATTTTGTCACAATGATGCTTTTGGTAAACTATTCAGCATAACAAAATTCTAACAATCTAACAATTATTGTATATAATAATAATAATCTGTAGTGGTTGATTTTTACGAGGGTAAAACTGGGGTTTACTTTATTCTCTTTAAGTTCCCTTAGCCCATCATTTCACAAATAAGAGGCTCAGCTCCAATGTTAATTCAGCAAAACACCGAGGCGCTGGGTGGTTAAAGGTGTGAGTTTTCGCCTGCGCCCGCATAGGATCCGCTTAACAGAGGAGCAGAGCTTTCTGTTGTAACGGTTGGGTCAAAGCAATGACCTTTCGCGCACAGAGGAGAAAGTCGGGATATGAATCTAATGGCTCCTCCACATGCGCCGGAGGCCGGAGGAGCGGCGCCTCTGTTTGGGCCCATTTGCTTTTCCCTCCTAGCAAACACCAAGCTGTCTTCACAACGCTATAGATGGTGAGGAAGCATGGGTGGATTTGACACGACACTACTAAGAATCTCGTCTTTTCGTCTTCCCTCCACTCTCGTATTTCTAGATGTTCTCGGGGTGTGTCAATACACTCAGTAATTTTGAACGAACGTGAGGCTGGTATGGCGTACTTCTCACGCTCTCAACAGTTGGTGAGGGTGTACAGACTTTGAACTTAGATGGGAGTTTAAGAGTTGACACGAAGAAACACCGTTGAGATTGGGTAACCAACAGATGATGCAGGAGCGTTGGTTTGGTTCCACTTTTTTTAATGCTTACGGAAAACCCAGAAGTCTTAATTAGTAAATACCAGGTATTAAGTCTTCTACGGACAGAAAGTCGTTACACCCAAACTTTGGCTCCAGGTTTACCAACCTATGTGCGATGTTAGTTTAGGTCCGAGGGTCCAGTAAAGGTCCGAGAATCTCCAGTGAACCCGAAGAAACGTAGGTAGTGCCAAAGGTGCAGGGGGTTGAAGTAAGCCATCTTTGATGGAATATTGCAATATAATGCAGGCATAT